TATTTTTATTTATTTAACTAAAATAAAAATTAACAAATTATTAAATAAATAAAAATATTAAATAAATATTTTTTAATATTTCAAGGAGTCACTATGGAGAATAGCTACTCCCTTTTAATTTTTTTTCAAAAAAAATTATTTCATTTAATTTTTTAACATATTAACATTTTAAAAATATTAATTTATTTATAAATTTCTTAGGATAATATAGTTTGTTGAAAAATAAAATCAAAATAAAATTCATTTTTTTTATGAATTTAATTTTACAATATAGTATATATATATATGTGTGTGTGTGTGCATAACAAATATAAATATAAATTTAAGAATGGAGATTAAACTTTTTATTTATTTGAACTGAAATAAAAATTTAACAAATTATTAAATTTTGTTTTTTTCACAGTGAGATACTATAAGCCCTAACGACTTAAAATCACTATAGCCCACAGTGACCCACTTTTTTTTTCCGTTCTTTTTTTTTTTAAATTTTGTTGTCACAATTAATCGTTATGGACCAGTCAGTGACGACTTTAAGCCATTATGATTTATATGACCCATAGCAACCCGCTTTTTTTTTAACTGAATTTTTTATGTTAATTTTTTTTGAAAAAAAGTATTTTATTTTTAGTTATTGGTGATCTGTTATGGATTATTTTTATTGCATTTAAGTTTTTTTAGTCCAATTTTTTTTTAAAAAAATATTTTTGGTTGAAGCTTTTCTTAAAAGAAATACTTTTTTTGAATTTTAAATTTTTATTTTTTAATTAATTCACTTTATTTTTTCTTTTACACGTTCATGTTTTTTTTATTAAAATTGAACCATTTGACAGATGGGAACGGTCGACAGTGATACTATTAAAGTTGCTATCCACTATACCAACTTTAACATAACAAAATTGAAACCATCATTCAAAGAAACAAAAAAAAAAGACATGTAGTAGTAGAGTTGCTGTGTTTGGGGGGTTTAAGGTTTAAATAGTTTCAAAACATCCTATTTACGTAATTAAATTTTAAAATAACTCCACAATGGTCGATCAACCAATTTACCAATTATATACAAGAAGTCAACCAAACCATGAACATGTGAGAATTATGTGTTTGGGGGGAGTTGGTTCTTGGCAACTTTCATCATCCAAACACTAGCAAAATGGTTATTATTAACATATAACTAATAACAAAAGCAAAATGATCAGAGAAACTATTAGGCCCATTTCGCAAATCTAAATTTGAGAGCAGATAAAAAATATAGAAAGAGAAGACTTACATGAAAACCAGCATTTTCATTAAACATGTGACGACCATCATGACATATCAGATGCTCTGAACTTAGAGCAGATATCAGCTCTTGAAGAATCATGGCACTTGATTTTTTAGGCAGAGCACCTGTAGCCAACTCCTCTTCTCTTTGAGAGGTTAATTCCTTCAATTTTTGTTCTAGAATGGCACCTAAAGCATCTCTCAATGTCAAAGGCCTTTGGAAAGACGGCATACTCTCATTGTCACTACTTGCCTCTTCCTTCTCGATACGAATTCCTATCTTTTGCTTCAGGGGAGAACTAAATGCAAACGACACCACATCATTGATCTTATTGTCATTAATCTTATCCTTTTCTCCAAGACAAACTTGTTTATTTTTCACAATAGAATTGTTCAAGGAGGAAGCATTCAGGTCCCTCCTTTTGCCACCTAGCCCAGCAGAATGAAGATTTCTCTGTTTTGCACCAACTGAATAAACAGAAACCGTGCCTTCTAGTTGTGTGACATTCGGTATCCTTCTTTTTCTCTCTAATGTTCTTACATGACATAAGGAATTATGCTGTCTATTACAAGGTTTTTTCTCTAGGTCAAATTTAGAACTATCCACTTTGGTAGGTGACCTCGTCCTTGTTCGACCACTTAGGCTTCTGTTCATAGCAACAAAGTCTTTACTCCCATTCATAGTGCTCATAGATGACGATACCCTTTTTACTTGCATATCACTCATTGTAGACCCAGATGAATATCTTTCACGGCTTAACATATGTTCTTGTGTTTGAGTTTTGTGTTTCAAGGCAGAAGAAGATGCATCACCCTCTAGGGCCTTTGATGGTTGGCATGACGAATTCCATTTAGCTGGAGTTTCATGGGGCATTGGCATTCTTCTGGCAGTGGGTTCACTCCATGACTGATGTGAATTATTTTTTCCTTCTTGTTCAGTAACAAGAGATATGTGCTTTTCCTGACATCTCAGAAGAACTACATCCCTTTCTTGCCCAGGAGAGGGAGCGAATGACTTTCCCTTCTTCTCCAATGATACCATAGAAGTAGCAGTGATCACATCTGAAACAACAGGTGGAGGAACACCCCCAACCTCAAACTTGCAGTCAACAACATCAAGCAAATTACCACAATTTTTGCAAGAGGTCTGCCCCATCAATTGCTTGGTTGAACAGGCATCATAACAACATTGATTTTGCACAATTGCTGACCGATCTTCAACACCATTTGTCACGATGTCAGTCTTAGCAGGATACATGGAAGCAGGATATGTAATAGAACACTCAGCTCTACTTCTGCTATGCAGTCCAGGTTCCAAAATTTTAGCAGCTGCGCCTATTAACCTAGAGCTTCGAGAACCACCCTTTCCCGAAGGAATTCTCGGGCTCTTCAATGAAGAAGCAAGCTTTGGGTGATGATGATGGTGGTGATTATACTTTCTTGCTCGGGACAAAACACTCTTAATTTGCAGGGCCTCAGCTCCAAACCTAGTCACCGCCCTTCTCTCATACGCTGTGGTTTTCTGAAGCTTCTGAGGCCTTGAATCATGCTTTGCAACTCCCATTTCCAAATCCATGCCTTGCCTATCCAACTCACAATGTTCACCTAAATACTCCTTCTTCCCATCAGCACACAAGGATTTCTTGGACTTATCTCGCTGTGCCGCCGGAATAGTTTCTAGACCCATCAACCTAGCCACAAGACTCGGAACTCGCATTTCACTCTTTTGATCTACATCTACACCATGATTCCCACCTTTTTTGCCACTTGGGAAACCCCCACTATTCTCATTAGCAATCTACAATAGAAACACGTCCACAATACCCAACTAAAAGAGTAAATGCTAAGCATTAAAGAAAAATAAATAAAAAGATTAACACAATCAGTCAAGCAAAAAACCTCACCAAGTGAAGCTTGGAATTTGGCATTTTCTCATCTCCCTTAAACTTTTTTGCACGAGCTGATACACATTCAACAACAAAAGATCAATACAAACATACATCAGTCTCCACAAACCAGGAAAACCCTCATGTCTTTGTGTGTGACATTTCAATATTGCATAACATTGAATTATCATTATAAGAGAATAGAAAGATTTAGAAAAACTAACCAGGAGGAAGAAGTTTCTTGGAGAATAGCTTCTTCTTGGAGAGTTTCCTCTTCCAATCAATGAGCTGAAAGAAAATGCCAACACAACCACCAGGCTTGTGCTGCACCTTCTTCTCCGTGATAGCCAAATTCTTCACCGTGGAGTCATTCATTTATGCAACACTCCCCAAGACAACCGACACTCCAAAAACCCCAAAAGTCAAAACCACCTTCCTCAACAAAGGGCTCCTCTCTACATTGCAAAAACCCAAAAACACATTCAACTCCTACCACACTCACACTCTGTCTCTCTTTCACTGCTAAAAAAAATACTAACTTGACATTCCCTCACCAAAAAAATCAAAAAAAAAAAAAAAAAAGAGGAAGAAAAAATGCAGCTTTATCATCCCTTGGAAGAGCCATTTGCAACCTTACTCACACTTAAGGAAACGAGGTACAATAATGTTATCCACAAAAGGCATGGGAACAAGACTGCAAAACCTCAGCGGCAGCCATGACAGACTGAGGAAGAAAGCAACTGTTGATGCAAGAAAGCGACCCCGTGGAAGAAAACAATCACATAGCAACGTTTGTAAATGACAGGCATGAGATGCAAAAGCTGCAAAGTGCGAAGCTAAGGTTGTGGTGGTGAGGAGCGCGTGGAGATAAGGGGAGTGAGACAAATGGGACACCCACGCGCATGGGAGCATCACCCCAAAATATTAATATTCGTGTCATCGGGACAACAACCGGAAACAGAGGTTGGTTTTGTTGGGTAACGTTGGGTCTACGTCTCTCTTCTATTCTGCGCTGTGGGCTGTCAAATTCATCTCTTTTCACGCGCCGTCTTTACACCTCTTTCTAACATACACATTCCTCTCATTCTTACATGTATACAAAATAACTTTATGCGTTACTTCTTAAAATTAAGAATTATAAACAAAATTTATTACAATTAAAAAGTTAAACTCACATTTTTATTATTTTCAATTATTAGTGTCCGATAAAAGTCATTTTGGATTATCAATAACGGAAACTGTGTTAAAAAAAGCACATATTAAAGGAACAATTCTCTTTTGTAACAATGTACCGAAACACCAAAATGACTGGTGCCAATGAACTGCATAACACAATGCAATGGCATAAAGCTCGAAAAGGATATGATTAATCATGCTAAACTTTTTCCCTTCTTTCCCGTTATTATTGCCTATTATTACTTACTCGTTGGCATCAAGAAAAGGGTCATAGATAATTCACAGTGGGATATGCTCCACCTTTTTGGGGTTAAAAATCTTTTTAAACATTCCATTTCATCTGTAGTTTTTGTACATACACTTTATAATATTCTTTTGCTAATGAATTTATTAATGTTAAAATTATATTATTAATCAATCAAAAATTATAATAGAAATATTTTTAAAATAATTATTATAAAATCTTATCAACTCATAATATGTAATTTAATACTAGATGATAGTATAAAATCTCTTTATATAATTAATACATAAAGTATTTTCTCTTTATTAATTTGTTTTTTTTATGCGATGGTGATAATAAAATCCAAACATCCGAATAATTATCCAAATTTTATTCTAGTATGTTAATTTATTTCACCATAATTTTTTAACCGGTAATAATTAAAATAGATTTGTTTATTGTTTATATATTAAAAGGAAGAAAGTTAAAGTTACACGTGAGTTTTGGTGGACCCATCTGAAATAGTAACCTAGGTTAAAAAGATGTGAACATCAATGTATAGTGAAAAGAGCTATGGTCACATGATGCGAGGTGAGAGCGTGTTAGAAAGTGAAGGTTTTTAGACTTGACCAATCAATCATCGTTCTAAACACTGTTTCAAACTTTCAATATACAAATAGGATTAGCACCTTTTCAGAACTATTGTTAAAAGGATTAGATTGTATTGTATACAACCAAAGACAAATCTAGTGGAAGTTGACATCCGATTTTGATGCATTTTCGTCATTTCGTGTTTGGAGAAAAGAAAACAAGGACAATCCATGACATAGAAAGAGGAAATTTATCTCAAGTATAAAGACAAAAAGTGAAAATATAGTTGATGGCTGGGCTTCAGTATCATACGCGACACATATCTAAATCTAAATTTTAAGGTATGTTTGCATTAAATATCTTATATACGTGTGTTAGAGAGAGAGAGAGAGAAATACTGCATGATTCATTTTATATATTAGTGTTTTGTTTTGAGGACAGAGGAAAAATGAATGAGAAAGAAATAAAATTGATAGGAGTAAAAAGAATAGAATGAAAAAATAAGTGCAAGAAGAAGCCAACAAGGAAAAGAATGTTAAAACAATGATATATACCATTAGAGATCTCATATTATAATAACTATACGATAATATATATAAATCAAAATAATTTTTATTTTACAAATGAATTTGTAAAGTTGAATTAAATATAAATTTATTTTTTAATGATATTAGAGTTTGATTATATCGAGCATTATTAAAATATTTGTAAATGTTCGATCTTTGATATAAAAGAAGTGTGATGAAGAGTCTCACATCAACTAGAAATAAAATCATAATAGTATATATAAGTGAGAAAAATTATCACTTTATAAGTAAGTTTTGAAAATTTGAATTAGATTTTTAACTCATTTTCTTAAAGTGATATCATAACCCATATTCTAATAATTATCGATTATTAATGGATTTATCATTTATCAAATTATCCACAATTATTCCCATTAATTGACAACTCACAGATGTTCAATCTTGTAAACTTGACGCTCCATGTGTTAAATTCTTAGTATGAAAGAGTATTAATGATCTTACATTATTTAAAACTAAAGTTATAATATATATAAATAAAGAATAATTCTTATTTTACAAATAGATTTTATAAGATGAAGACTTATTTTTTTAAGACCAACTATTATCTACCGTTCATTATACTTATTTAGTGAATTTAAAAATAATATGAAGAATATGTGAGACTAGGTGTCGTAATTAATTTTTAATGATTAAAATAACTAAAAATACAAGATGAACCAATACTTTTAATTAGTCACTACTATTGATGATAGATATTGCAGAGATGAAAAAAAAAAAATCAATACTTTCAACAAGGTTGTGAGTTTCAAAAAATAGTAGAAAATGGTTTCACTACTTGGATTGGTGAGTTAAAATTTGAGGTTGCGTATTTGTATTTCAAGTTCAGTGTGGATTCCATTTATGGTTTACGTTCATGTAACTTTAGGAATTATTAGCAAGAAACTACGATGTGGTTGTTACATATAAGGGTGATAATTTAGAGAGATAAGTGCACAACTATATATACTCACTTCGAGAGTTATATAAATTGTGTTATGGTCATATCATTTGCCTATTAATGATTAAAATAACTAAAAATACAAGATGAACCAATACTTTTAATTAGTCACTACTATTGATGATAGATATTGCAGAGATGAAAAAAAAAAAATCAATACTTTCAACAAGGTTGTGAGTTTCAAGAAACTCTTTATTCGAAGAAATCACATACAAAGTAATAAATGTAATATATAACATTATATAAAGGGAGAAACTTTGGCATCTCCTTTAATTTTCACTTTTGCACAAACTATTTTTTCCCTTTTTATTTTATCTAAATATGTAAAATTTTATATTTTTTAAGTACCAAAATTTCACTAACTACCTATTAGTTTTTTTAATTGGTTTTTTTATTCTTCACAATTAATAATTATGGATCATATTTTTTTTCACAAAAATACTACTTTTTTTTTTTCTATACAAAACATATAAAAACACGAATCACCTTGGTTTTAGTAGTCATCATAATTGTATTAGTTACATTAATTCACTTGTGTAGGTCCAAAATTGTGGAATAAGAAGATTAAAATGCAAGTCAAAGGTAAAGAATTCAAACTCTATATATTACTAGGGTAAGTAAAAGATTTCAACATGTCTCAAAAATTATTTATATAATACTTCTTAAATTTGACGTCCTAGTGCAATTTCATTTTATGACACTTCATATGATACTTCACACAACTCTTTTCAGTTAAAAGCCTTCAGTCTTTCGTAGGTAATCTTTTTTTAAGATATTCAACTGTCTCTAAGATTAATAGTTGTTCCCATAAACCAACATAACACTTTTTAGTATATTTTGTTTCCACTCACAAGCTTTTTGAGAAACTTCTCAAAAGTTTACTGACTCATCCTTAAATTATTCAAAGTCAAACATACTTAACTATAAAATTTTTATGTAATGAACTATTAAAAATATATACATCTTATTAATATAGATAGTACAAATTAATTCTTTTAAGTTATTATACATCATTCAAATGTGTTCAGATTGTTTCAACTCATTCTAATTTGAGAGAAATTTTTGCATCACAATAAATGATATTAATATATAAAAAGGTGACAATATAGGAACAATGTAACCATCTAATTACAACAATCACATATAGTAAGTTAATTAGTCTTTATAATAATTATTTTAAAATTACGTGTTAATCATGATTTTTTTTATTAATTGATAATGTACATGTGAATAATTTTTCATCGGAAATATATAAAAAATTAACCAAATATTATATTTAAACTATTGATGATAGATATTGCAGAGATGAAAAAAAAAAAATCAATACTTTCAACAAGGTTGTGAGTTTCAAGAAACTCTTTATTCGAAGAAATCACATACAAAGTAATAAATGTAATATATAACATTAAGTCCTTTAAAATCTTAATCCAATACACCCCCCTTAATTTAGTGAATTTGAAAACAATTAATTAAGAATATGTGAGACTAGGTGTCTAATTAATTAATGCAATGGTATAGATCTAAAGCAGACATATTTGAGAAAGGAAGCGGTCATGATGAAAGATGGACGATGAACATTTGTACACATCACGTCCCAATTTCACGACAAAGCAAATTTTTCTTCAATTTTTTTTTTTTTACAGTAACATAGATGAGTTTCATAAACTTTATTTAGATTATAATAGATAAATAAAATAAATTATTAATTTACTTGTTATTTACTAAAAATATTTTTAAAAAAATGCCCAATTCATTTACAATGTATTTTATAACATTTATATAAATGAAGTGATATTTTTCAATTTGTAATTTCGTCTCCAAGTAAACAAAAATATCGAATATTATGCGACACAAATACATAAAAGTGTAGAACACGTCATCATCAAAAGCAAGAAAACAAAACACTACACGGTTAGTTTACCATTTTTTTATATAGAAATTCTAAGGTATCCTTTAAAATTTAAAGAGTTCTGAAATTATTTTTACTTATAAAAATGTATACATTTGATATTTTATAATAATTTGATTATATTTATTAGTTTTTTTTAAATTTTAATATATATATATATATATATATATATATTACATGAAACGTTTGGATTTATTGAGGATATTTTTTTTAAAATATTATGAATTATTATAAATTGAGGTTTTCATAATTGTATGTAAATTTTAAGAAATAAATTGAATTAAAAAATCACAAAATCTTCCTCTACTTCAACAAATAAAATTTTATTATTATTTTTTTAAGTTATTCTGATTTTTACAAAATAATTTAAAATAATTAAATTAATATTTAGTGAAAAAATAATAATAAGTTAATTACTTAAATTTTCTGTTTGTCCATAACACATTACTTAATGTAGAGGGAGAGAAAAGTAAAAGAGAAAAGAAAAAAAAATACTTTAAATTATTTTTATTGATTTTAAAAATTGACTCTAGCAAAATACTGTCATTTAAGCGTTTGAAATTGTAATGGTTTTGCTTGTGTTTTGA